GGTCTTCTGCAATATTTTCTGGGTTACACAGTCAGCCCTGCTCACTGTGAGACCACGCAAGGATGTGAATGTCAAGGGTCAGGATTACTGCGCCTCCTTGCAGGAAATTTCATGCTTAGGATCTAACAGGATTGTTTTGGGCTGGGTACAGTGGTGCACACCTGCATTCCGGCAACTGTGGAGGCTGAGGCAGAAGGATTGCAAGTTGGAGGCCACCCTGGGCAATTTAGCAAAAACCCTTGGGAACTAAGTCTCAAAGATTTAAAAAAGGGACTGGGAATGGAGCTCTGAAGTACAGCTCCCCTGGGTTTTAAAAAAAAAAACCTGGGCTGAGGCTATAGCTCAGCTGGTAGAGCGCTTGCCTCCCATACATAAGGCCCTGGGTTCCATTCCCAGCACCACAAAAAAAGAAAAAAAAAGGAAAAAACTTCTGGTTTGTGTTATTGTTGGTCTCTGTGAGCGGAACGCAGGACTTCGGCCTCACGAGAACAGAGCTGCTGGTTGCTGGCTTCTTCCCTGTGCTCGGGAGGGGACTCAGGGCCACAGCATGTCAGGCCAGCGCTATACCTCAGAGCTGTGTCCCCAGCCTCTAGTGTCCTACTTCCCGCCACATCCCTCGTTCTTAGAGCAGGCTTAGAAAACATTTATTGAGCCGGTCGCAGTGGCACAGGCCTATAATTCCAGCTGCTCAGGAGCTGAGGCAGGAGGATCCCAAGTTCAAAGCCAGCCTTAGCAACTGTGAGGTTCTAAGCAATTTAAGAAGATGCTGTCTCAAAATATAAAATAAAAGGAACTGAGGAGGTAGCTCAGGGGTAGAGTGCCCCTGGGTTCCATACGCAGTCCTGGGGGAGTGTGTGGAGTTGTCTTTGGAGTTTTTAGATGCTTGTTTTAGACAAGGCTCCAGAATGATGTGGCTGGGGCACTGTCTTCTTAATTAAGCCTGGCATAATTTTTCTCAGTATTATGCTAGAGGTCTTCTAGATTTGTTCACATGGCCTGGGGAGGTAACCAAAAAAAGAAAAAAAAATTCACAGAGAGTAGTTTATTTATGTATTTATTTTTTCCTTTTGGTACTCGGGATTGAACCCAGGGGTGCTTACCACTGAACCATCCCCAGTCCTTGTATTTTTTATTTTGAGATAGAATCTTGCTAAGTTGCTTAGGGCCTTGCTACATTGCTGAGGCTGGCCTCGAACTTGCAGTCCTCCTGCCTCAGCCTCCTGAGAGTTGCTGGGATTACAGGCTTGAGCCACTGTGCCTGGCTGGCCATGTAAATGTGTCCATACTGAAGGCATATTGCTGGGACAAAGGAAAGATGGCATTTTATTCATCTATTTACTTATTTTTGTGCCGGGGAATCAAACCCAGGGCCTTGCGCATGCTGGGCATTTTATTTGGATCAATGTTCCTAGTTTGTTCCACTCTGTGATGGAACCCAGGGCCTCCTGCATGCTACAACCCTAGCATCCCTGCCATTTTAGTGTGACAAAGTGACAGCCAACCCTGTTTGTCTGGGACTCTTCCTGTTTCTGAACTGAAAGTTCCAGATCCCAAGAAACCCTCCACCCTGGAGAAGCTGGGACAATTGGTCACCTGCTCTCCCTGGTCAGGCACAGAGAGCAAAGACGTGGGGAGCAGAGAGTGCTGGGATCAGGCCTCGGGGACAGAGGGGGACGGGAGCTTCCATTGAGGAGCCCCCTGGCTCCCGTGGTCTGCTCTGCCGCCCGCTCAGCTCGGCCTGCCTCATGCAGAGGGCCACTGTACAGTGGAGCAGACTGAGGCCCAGGATGAAGGGCCCAAGGTCACATCTCAATGTTCCTTTCTCTTGCAGGTCCCTGACCTGGGCCTTACACCCCCGAAGATCATGATGGCATATATGAACCCGGGGCCCCACTACTCCGTCAACGCCTTGGCCCTGAGTGGCCCCAGTGTGGACCTGATGCACCAGGCTGTGCCCTACCCCAGTGAGTTGCCTCCCTCCTGCCTCCCTGGCTGCCCCACTCTGGGGGAGGTCCTCCGGGATCTCTTGCCCTGGGAGGAAGGTGCTTATCAGGGTGACTCAGAGGCCATACCCCAGGTCCCTGTGCAAAACACTGTGACACTGACACGTCACTTAGGGCATTTCTAGAAAGTTAAGGTGGAGTTTCCCTCAGGGAATAGGGAGTGGAAGGTGATCTGGGAGGGGAACCCAGGAGAAGTTCCATCTGATGGCCAAGTTGGCGAGCTGCCTTTCTTCTTAGATAATGAGGATTGCACCCAGGGCCGCCCGAGCACTGAGCTATATCCCTGGCCCTCTTGGCTTTTTATTTTGAGGCTGGGACCAGCTAAATTGCTGAGACTAGCCTCCAACTTGCAATCCTCCTGCCTCAGCCTCCAGGATTGTTGGGATTACAGGTGTGCACCACCACACCCAGGAAAAGCTCTATTTCTAAAAGAAATGGGCATTCAATGTTTCACGGCATTGTTCTTTATAGCCATATATATTTTTTTCTTTTGCAGTTGAACTGTACCCATTTGCCACTTTTATAGGCTAGGAATGGTTGAAGTTCAGCCATAAGGAGTCAGCTATCTCTTAGAGAAGGAGTTCAGCGTTAGCCCTGGCAACGCAGTGAGGTTCCACTGCTGAGGCTGAGGCCAGAGTTCAAGGCCAGCCTCAGCAAGTTAGCGAGACCCTGACTCAAAATGAAAACTCACCAGGGCTGGGAATGTGGCCAGTGCCCCTGGGTTCAATCCTCACACCAAAACACAAACAAAAAAGAAAGTTCAGAAAGTGGGAAAACCCTCGGTGACACCTCCTGTTTAATAATAGTAATAATAATGAGGATGACGAATCGCCACCCAGGGCTTCATTTTGGGGTGCTCAGCCCCGCCCTCACGCCTCCCCCAGGAAGCCCCGCTGCAGGGGACAGAACAAGGTCAAAAAGGAGAGAAGAGACTCCATCTTCCCCTAGGCACCTGGACACCCACGAGGGACTTCCTGGGGTCCCGCCCGTCCTCAGGACGCCCCACCGGCACCCCTAGAAACCCGAGGTCCCTGGTTGCACCCCATCAGGTGCCCCGAGGAAGCAGCGGCGGGAGCGGACCACCTTCACCCGCAGCCAGCTGGAGGAGCTGGAGGCGCTGTTCGCCAAGACGCAGTACCCGGACGTGTACGCCCGCGAGGAGGTGGCGCTCAAGATCAACCTGCCCGAGTCCAGGGTCCAGGTGGGGGTTCTGGTCCCTCCCACCCTGTGGTCTTCCTGGGCCCCTCCTCAGACCCCAAGTGAAAGGAGGAGGAGGCGCCATAGAGGGACAGCCAAAGTTATAAAGTGGCCCAAGCCTCCCTGACCCCCGTTCTGTCACTGTCACCGCCCCTCCCAATGCTCTCACCCCACTGTCTACCAAGCGCACTCCCATCTCAGGACCTTTGCGCTCGCTCGCTGTGTCCTGCACCTGCGGTGTTCGGTCCTCAGATAACCAAAGGGCGTGTCCAATCACTGCACCAGCCTTTGCTTATCAAGCCGTCCATCAGAAGTCCTCTGTCCGTCAAGGAGACTTGACTCACCAGAGCATTTTATTTATTTATTTAGTATATTTATTTTTCAGTTCTCGGCGGACAAAACATCTTTGTTGGTATGTGGTGCTGAGGATCGAACCCGGGCCGCACGCATGCCAGGCGAGCGCGGTACCGCTTGAGCCACATCCCCAGCCCCACCAGAGCATTTTAAATCTCAGTCTTTCCCGCTCCCTCAGCTCTACAGCTCCCCTTTATCCAGCTCAATTATTTCTCCCAAGTATTTATCATCTCCCCAAATACGATGATTGACTTATTTACTGTTCACTTAAGACTCACCCCACTAGATTGTCAACTCCACTCATGTATCCCCCAAGTAGTAGAAGACGGTGACTAACTGAACGGGCTGATCGGATGGTGCATGGATGGAGAGATGAATACGCGTGTCCTTTCCATGCTGGGTATCAAACCTGGGCCCCTGCACGGGCTAGCGAACGCTCCACCTCTGAGCTGCACCCCAGCCATTGAATGAGTATATGAATGTGTGTGTGCACAATTGGATGGGGGAAGAATGAATGAACATGTGCATGTGTGATGTGTGTATATGTATGCTTGCATGTATAATTGGACAAATGTATTTTTGTTCCTGTATATATGTATGTGTATATATGTGTACATGCATGTATTTGTATATGCACGCATGTACGTGTATGTATGTGCACGTAAGTGTATATGCATGCAAAGATGTGCATGTGTGCTCACGTGCGTGCCCGTATGTGTGCGTGTGCACATACACACCATGTATGTGCATTTATGTGTATATACACACGTGTGAGTGTATGTCGGAGGATGGAGGAACATATGCATGCATGATAGGGTGGGTAAACGTGCATTTGTATGTGGGAGGCTGTGGGTGGATATGCATGATTTCTGTGTGCACGATTGTGTGTTCACATTCGTGGTCAGTGAGTGGGTGTATGCAGGAGTGCCCTGTGTGCGCATGCTTGGTGGCAGGATGGCCAGCATCGGGGAGGAACAGATGCCACGTAACTGGACACCGAGTGGAGACATGGGACTTTGGCACCTGTCGCCTGTGAGCCTGCTCACTCCTGGCCCCTGGAGGGCTCTGGATCCCCCTCCACTCACTGAGCCCAGCCCCCTCCTCCCCCTAGGTCTGGTTCAAGAACCGCAGGGCCAAATGCAGGCAGCAGCGGCAGCAGCAGAAGCAGCAGCAGCAGCCTCCTGGGGGACAGGCCAAGGCCCGTCCTGCCAAGAGGAAGGCGGGCACCTCCCCGAGGCCCTCCCCGGATGTGTGTCCCGACCCCTTGGGCGTCTCCGACTCCTACAGCCCCCCTCTGCCGGGCCCCTCTGGCTCCCCGACTGCGGCAGTGGCCACTGTGTCCATCTGGAGTCCAGCGTCAGAGTCCCCTCTGCCTGAAGCCCAGCGGGCTGGGCTGGTGGCCTCGGGGCCCTCTCTGACCTCAGCCCCCTACGCCATGACCTACGCCCCGGCCTCGGCCTTCTGCTCCTCGCCGTCGGCCTACGGCTCTCCCAGCTCCTACTTCAGTGGGCTGGACCCCTACCTGTCCCCCATGGTGCCCCAGCTGGGAGGCCCAGCGCTCAGCCCCCTCTCGGGCCCTTCCGTGGGGCCCTCCCTGGCCCAGTCCCCCACCTCCCTGTCCGGCCAGAGCTACGGTGCCTACAGCCCCGTGGACAGCTTGGAATTTAAGGACCCCACCGGCACCTGGAAGTTCACCTACAACCCCATGGACCCTCTAGACTACAAGGATCAGAGTGCCTGGAAGTTTCAGATCTTGTAGAAGATGCTCCCTCAGCCTCACCTGGCCTCCGGTCCCCTCTGAATCTGCCTCCTTGCCGCTTAGGTTTCAGGGATGGCAAAGCAACCAGAACTGAGGACAGCCAGGCTTCCTCAGGTGCCGTCTTGAGACTCAGAAGCAGCTGGCCCCAGGCAGCCCCCCAACTCCAGCTGCCCCACAGCTGGGGACTGGCACTCAGAGCCTCGGCCACAGACTTCAGAGACCTGTGCTGGGACCTGTCCAAGGAGAAAGCAAACCCACTGTGCAGCTGACGGGGGTCACCATGGGGTCAGAATCACTGCACCCTTGAACAACAGGGGAGCCTCTGTCCCTTACCTGTCCACGAGGACACTTCCTCAGCACATGGGTAGGATCCCCAGAGATTCCAAGGGCGGATTCTAAGAGGCTCCCCTGGGAACCTTAGGTTAATTACACAGCTTTGTGAAAAAATTCGCTTGGAGACTTTACAGACTTCACAAATGTCAGGCTTACATGGTAGATTTAAGAGGCCCTTTCCTATAAATGCATGACTATGAGATACGTGGACGTGTGATGTTTATGGATAAACAAATGTCTGATATGTCTGTGGGTATGTTTTTTCTTTTTCTTTTTTCTGCACTGGGGATTAACGATTGAACCCAGGAGGGCTGTACCCTGGGCTACATCTCCAGCCCTCTTTATTTCTTGAAATACAGTTTTACCCACCAACAAGCACTGTGAGAACTTGAGGGATCCAGGTATTTTGATGCTCTGCGAGTTGGGTGCTGGGCTGGAGAGGGGCTCTGGGGTGGAGCTCTGGCCTGGCAGGCAGGAGGCCCTGGGTTCCATCCCCAGCACTGAAAAAAAAAAAAAAGAGAGAGAGAAAAGCTTCAAAGTGTGGTGCTCTGGCCCACCTCCTGGCTGTGGTTTGGGGTGGGGGAGGCGGAGCCAAGAGCCTTTCAAGAGTGGCTTTTGCAGGCCGAATGGGGAGGATGGGCGGGGGTGGGGGGTGGTGGTGTGTTGGTGGTGGCTCCGCAGGCTCTCCCCACGGAGCCCTGGCTTGGAGCGTCTGCCAGTTACTATGCTATAAATGCTCCCTGGGTGGCTGCTCCCAAGTTGTCCATCTGAGGTCACCAGGCTTGGAGTTTGGCATGGATGTGCCCAATCTCTGTCCCCTGGGGTCAGAAGGAGAAAGCCTGGTGGGAATGGAGGGTGGGAGGGGTCAGATGGCTTTTCCAGCTTTACACCAGGAGAGGGGCACACCTGGGCACGACCCCTGGGCAGGCTCGATCCCTGGGGCCCTGGAACAGCCCGGCCACTTCTGCGGCCTGAGTCATCCTGGGCTTTGGGACCTGAGCCTCAAGAGTGGCCCAGGGTCCAGTGTGGCAAGTACAACAGATGACCCAAGTTGGGGTGCAGACTAAGAACCTGTTTGGAATCCACAGGGAAAGGTTGGGAAAGAGATGGCCTTGGGCTGGGTCTGTGCAAAGAGTTCAGGACTGGACTCTGCCCTCTCACTGGGAGGTCTGTGTCTTGTGCAGATAATTCAGAGGGTGCTTGTGTGAAGATATGGGGAGGGGACACAACACAATGTCCCCGAGGCCCAGGGTCAACAGGGTGAGCTTCAAGAGACCCTGGTGCTGGGGAACCTTCCAGAACTTTCTGAGCTGCACAGAGCAAGGACTTGAACCTCAGGAGGCCCATGTCCCTCTTCCTGGGCTCATTTCCCCAGCTGTGCACCACGGATCTCAAATGTCCTGCTTCCTAAGCCACAGAAGCTGACAGGGCGGGTGGGGACAGAAGAACTAGGCGGGTGCCTCCCTGGTTCTGCCTCTGTCCTCCAGGTCCCCTCCCTGGCCAGCCAGAGTAAGAATGCTGAACCCGGTGAAGTCTGGGTGATTTTGTGATTGTTCACCTTTTTCCTGGAAGGGCAGAATCCCTGTGGCAGGGAGGTCGGGTGGCACAGCCCCTAGTCCCAGCAACTTGGGAGGCTGCAGGCAGATCACAGTGCGACTTAGTGAGACCCTGTCTCAAGGGAAAAAGAAAAAACACAGGTGGAGGTCTGGAATCCTCTGCAACTTGGGGGTACTAGGAATTGAACCCAGGAGTGCTTAGCCACTGAGCCACGTCCTTTTTTTTTTTTTTCTCCCTTTTAATTTTTATTCTGACATAGGGTCTCCCTAAGGTGTCCAGGGCCTTGCTTTGTTACTGTGGCTAGCCTCCATCTTGCAGTCCTGCCTCAGCCTCCACCTGTGCCACGGCTTCTGGCTCTCTTTAAATTTTACAACAACCCCTCAGACAGATTATTGTTATTACCCCTGTTTCAGAGATGGGGAAACTGAGGCAGAGTGGGGGTGGGCACTGCCCAAGGCCCCTCAAGTGGGAAGGAGTAGAACCGGGCGTGGAGGTTGTCCTGTTGACATGATCCCCCCCTGTCCCAGTCCTGCCTTTTCCTCTTGCTCGCTCTGCTGCTTCCTTTCTGGGTCTTTCTGAACGTGAACGATTCTCTCCTTTCTCTCTTTCCATCCCTCCCATCTGTCTCTGTCCCTCCGGACCCTCCCCCTGTCCCTGGATGTTGCCTGTGTCCCTGGACAGGACTAATTTAGCAAATGCTCCAATCCTCTTAGGAGAAGGGTCCAGCCTCAGCAGAATGGCCGGGGAATTAGGGAGGATTAGGTTGGGACTCATGACGTGGGGGAGGGGACCCGGGGAAACCACGGCGTCTCCACGAAACGACGCCCCTCCCCCAGCTCCCGCCCGGGAACCCGACGGCGCCGCAGGCAGCGCAGCCCTCTGCACCGGGTGCCCGGCGCTCACCGAACCTTCGCCGCGATCTCTCGTCTTAAGGGTCAGGGGAGCCCAGGGACTTTCCCAAGGCCAGTAGGACCCCAGGCCACCTAGCCTGGATGCAGGAACTGAAGGGCCAAGCGGCCAGCGAGCGCAGTCCCTGTCGGCGGGGGGCTTCAGAGAGGATGGATTCGGCCCCCACGGAGCGGGAGGGGAGGGGCGGAAGGGAGAGACCGAGAGAGATCCAGAGGGTGGAGATGAGAGAAGGCATCTCAGAGAAGGGGGAATGGAAAACCGAGCTAGGGGACGCGATTAGGAAGGGGGAGAAAAGGCTGCGGGACGTGACCAATGGCCACAAGTCAACATGTGAACCGCGAATTCCAAAGGCTCTGGAGGCTGAGGCAGGAGGATTGCAAATTCGAGCCCAGCCTCTGCAACTTAAATTCTCAGCAACTTAGCGAGGCTTTATCTCAAAACAAAAAAAGAAAAAGGGCTGGGGTTGTGGCTGGATGGTGAAGCACCCCTGAGTTCAATACCTGGTACCAAATGGAAAAAAAACCCAAGAACAACAACAAAAAATTATATACACGCATATTTACCGTGTGCAATGAGACGATTTGGTATATTTCTACATTGTGAGTGATCATCACAATTGATGAACTTGATTAATCAACACCCACCACCTCACCTGGGCATGTGGGATGAGAGCGCTGAAGAGCTACTCCGCAATTTTCAAATACACCATTTAACTCTGGTCACCGTGCGGGGCCTCAGATCTTGTTTATTTATTCACAGAAGGGTTTGTTTGGCACTGCATACCAAACCTGCCCCCCCTCCCCCATCCTAGCAAACCCTCTCTCTTGGAGCCCTATCCCTAGTCCATCCCACATGAACTTGACCTGGACCAGAGTCTCTTCATTTCCATCCCTGAGCATGGAACCCAGGGTCTCGCTTGTGCAAGGCGAGCCTGCCCTCAACTAGTTTTACTCTCTGCTTTGGGAGCTGACTCGAGCATCCACAAAGTTGGGTTTCCTCCAACGCCTTAGAGCAATGGCAGCTATATAGAGAAGGTGAAGGGACCACTGTTCCTTGGTGGAGATTATTTTAAAAACCATATTGAAATTTGGCAGCTGGATAACTTGGAGACAGGAGGGCACAGAGGTAGAGTATTCCCTGGACAGTAGTGACGGGGCTGCAGGAATCATGGGTGACAACTGTGTCCTGCTATCTGGGCTCCTGGGTACAGACTGGGGAATGCAGTCAACTGGGGTCCAGTTAATAAGCAAAAAGCACTCGCAGCAGGGCCTGGTGGCTCACGCCTGTAATTCTCAGCGGCTCTGGAGGCTGAGACAGGAGGATATAGAGTTCAAAGTCTAGCCTCAGCAAAATCGAGACCCTAAGCCACGCAGTGAGACCCTGTCTCTAAATAAAATACCAAATAGGGCTGAGGATGTGGCTGAGTGAGTAACTCCATTTTGAAAATCAGCGCCTGCCCACCCAGGGGTGATCTTCCCATTAGTCTCACCCTGAAAGAGTCCCTGACTACGGAAACCGCAGGAGCAGACAGGTTATTGTTTCTTATAATATTTATTTTTTAGTTGTAGATGGACACACAAGACCTTTATTTTATTCATGTATTTTTATGGGGTGCTGAGGATGGAACCCAGGATCTCGCTTGCAAGGCGAGCCTCTACCGCGGAGCCCCGAGCCCGCCCAGACGGGTTATTTCTTAACTACTCCATTGTGCGTGAGGACAAGAGTTTTTCCCAGCAGCTGCGATCCGGAGCCTCTGTGCGACACCTACACTAACCAGCTCAATCCGGGTACCCTCCCCCAAAACCCAAGCCCTGTGGGCGCCTCTCGGTGCCTCGTCCTGCGTCCGGGCAGGTGTCTTGGGCAGGTGTCGTGAGCCGCGCTTTTTCCCCGTGCCTCGGTGTTTCCTCCCTCGGGTTCCTGGAAATGGCCTCCGGTCCCGGGTCAAGCCTCCGTGGTCTCTAAGGGTGGGGGCGGGGGGGGGTCTGAGCTTTGTCCTGAGGTCGCTGGACCTGGAGAGGCGCGAGGTGGCGGGAGGTTAATCCCCGTGAGCTCTATCTCTGTAGGGTGGAGCCCAGGCGAGGCCAAACCCCTGAGCAGATGTCACTCTGAGAGATGCCGGAATGCTCCAGGACACCTTTAGGGACAGACCTGGAGCTAATCCTACCCCAAAGGTGGGAAACAGCCCTGGGGAAGGGGAGGGAGACCTCTGCCGCCCCTGGCAGCTGCGGAGGAAGAGGCCTTGGGGTCCCAGCTGACCTCAGCGCAGGACCCTGGAGGCCAGGGCAGTTTACTCCGCTCCGGAGAGCAGCAGCCACCAATAGCAAGTTGCACAGAAACAGTTTCACAAAACACATTGTCCAAGGAGACAGCAGTGTACCCTGAGCCTGCTCACATCCGTGACTCTGCTTCTACACAAGCGGCCCAGCCGGTCACCTTCCAGATGGGCTGATCAGAGGGACCCGCTGCCGGACAGCCTCGGCCCAGAGCAAAGCCGCTTTTTATTTTTAATATTCTTTTCCGTTGTCAATGGAGCTGTATTTTATTTATTGATATGCGGTGCTGAAGTCGAACCCAGTGCCTCCCACATGCCAGACGATGGCTCTACCTCGGAGCCCCAGCCCCAGTCCTGCGTCCTGCTTTTTTTTTTTTTTTTTTCTACTAGGATTTGAACCCAGGGGCGCTCTACCACTGAGCTACATCAGTCCTTTTACATTTTTTATCTTGAGATGGGAGGATTGCAAGTTGGAGGCCAGCCTCAACAACTCAGCGAGACCCTGTCTCAAAATAAAAAAGGACTTGGGCTGGGGATGGGGCTGGATGGTTAAGTGCTCCTGGGTTCAATCTCTGGTACTGAAGAAAAAGAAAGAGAAAAAGTATCGCTAAACATCGCCTGCAATCCTCTGAGACGCCAGACGCCAGTGAGTTCATAATCTCCATCTTTTCGTTTGTGAAGGGTCTGGCCTTTATGTGGAGGCTACCGACTGATCAGGCGGGTTATTGCTGGAGGCTGGGGCGGTTGTGGCAATTTCTTTCATTTTGTTGTTTTCTTTTTTGTTACTGGCGATTGAGCCGTATCCCCAGCTGTTTTTTTTTTAAATTTATTTTATTTTATTTTTTTTCTTTTTTTTTAAAGAGTGAGTGAGAGAGAGGGGGACAGAGAGAGAGAGAGAGAGAGAGAGAGAGAGAGAGAGAGAGAGAGAGAATTTTAACATTTATTTATTTTTTCTTAGTTCTCGGCGGACACAACATCTTTGTTGGTATGTGGTGCTGCTGAGGATCGAACCCGGGCCGCACGCATGCTAGGCGAGCGCGCTACCCCTTGAGCAACATCCCCAGCCCCTCCCCAGCTGTTTTTTATATTTAATTTAGAGACTGGATCTTGCTGAGTTGCTAAATGCCTCGGTAAATTGCTGAGGCTGGTTTTGAACTCATGATCCCCCTGCTTCAGCCTCCCTAGCTGCTGGGATTAGAGGTGTGCACCACTGCACCTGGCTTCCCTTTTTAGTTTTCATCTTGACAGGGTTTCACTAAATTACTGAGGCTGGCCTCTAACTTATGATCCTCCTGTCTCAGCCTCCCCAAATTGCTGGGATTACAGGCATGTGCCACTGTGTCTGTGCCCAGTTGAGTATTTTCCAATTAAGTCTTTTAAATTGGAGCAGTTCATGGTGCCCTAACACAACTGCACCAGTAACATTCCACACCATTAGAGATAGATAATTGGGGCTGGGATTGTGGCTCAGAGATAGAGCACTCACCTAGCACGTGTGAGGTGAGTATTGTGCTCAATTACAATTAAAAAAATAATAAATATTAAAAAAAGAGAGAGAGGATAATGACAATTTGAACTCTCAAGAGTGACCGAAATGTGAAAGGGACATGAATGACAACAAGCCGCTGGGCTGGAGAGATGGGGCCCATCAACTTTCTCCATATTCAGCTGCCACAGGCCTTCCATTTGCAAAAAGCCAAACCCTTGCAGCCTCTGCAAAGTGCTGGCAGTAAATACACAGAGCACATCTGTCCCCTGTGGAGTGTATCCCCCACTCGCCCATGGGCCTGGCCTTTGGCCTGTTGTGCAGAGGCTGTGGGGAACACTTGGCATACAGCAGTCACAGTTCCTATTTCCATTCCTTTTGGACTTTTGAGACCCTAGATTCGATTATTTTGGATCAAAGTCACTCTGAGGGCTGGGGATGTAGCTCAGCGGTAAAGCACTTGCCTTCTACGCATAAGGCCCTGGGGTTAAACCCCGACACCACAAACAACAAGAGTAGCAGTAGTTTCAGAGTGCGGTAAACTCAGTCAAGAGATCTAGCTGGGTGTGGTGACTCAGGAGGCTGGACAGGAGGATTGAGAGTTGAGGCCAGCCTCAGCAACTTAGGGAGACCCCACCTCAAAATAAAACATGAAAAGGGCCGTAGCACAGTAATTAAGGGCTTCTGAGTTCAATTCCTGGTACCAAAAAAAAAAAAAAAAATCTTAACTATTTTCTGGGGACTGAACTTAGAAAATCTGATTCTCCCCTGACCCGAGAGTCAGTCCTCAAGGGTCCCAGGTACAAGCAAGAGTTCAGTCTAATGTTTACATGCAGATTAGGCAGATCAGAGAGGCTGAACTCAATGAGCCAAATCCAGGGGTCCGTGTATAAAGCAGAAGTCAGTGTGTTCCCTCACCAGGGGAAATCAGCCCCCAGACCTCCACCCAGGGGCAGATGAGACCTTTGTCACACTAATGTGTACCAAGCAGTCTCTCCCCTTCTCCAGGCATCTGGGGGGCAACTTTGAGAGTGGACCACAGGAGGGACTGTAAAGGTAAAATTTCTAAGCTGATTCTAAGCTGTAAAGCCTGAGTTAAAAAGTAAAAGACTAGGTATTGTTAAAATTCCTCTGCTACCCCCAGAACCTGTAATCTCTGTAGCTGTTAGGACAATACCCGAACTGCCCAGTAAATATTTCCACTGATTCCCTGGTTGTTTAATAGCTAAGGGCTCTGAGTAGCTCGGTATGTAGGCATCCAGGCCCCAAAACCAATCAGTTTGAATGTGTTCCCCGCTTAGGAGTGACCAATCACCCCTGCCCAGACTGTTCCCCCTAATGAATGTATTAATCCTGTCTCAGGGTTGTTGTTCAATTTTTCCGCGCCTCAAGATGATTTTTCTGATGTATGCAAAGCCCACCGCCCTCTCCAGAAAGTGTACTTAAGCTCTGCTTGACCTCTGCTCTGGGCTGCTCTATCTTCCTGAGTGAGCCTGGAACCTCAGCATGCTGAATTAATAAATCCCCTTTGCCAATTGCATGAAGCCAGTCTCTTGTGTGGTCTCTTCCTCCGACGCTCCGCCGGACCCTTACAGGACCAGGGGGACAGTTTCCTTGGGGAGCGGGGAGAACCTGCGGGCTCATCCAGGCTGCTGGCTGGAGTGGTGGGCCAATTCCCTGGTATCAGACAGGAGGGGCTCCCAGCCCTGGAGGATCCATTTCGGCGGACACAACACCTATTTTTGTATGTGGTGCTGAGGATCGAACCCGGGCCACACGCATGCCAGGCACTGCGCTACCACTTGAGCCACAACCCCAGCCCCAAGCTCCTTACTTTTGAGACAGGGTCTCAGTAAATTGCTGAAGGCCTTCCTTGTTAATTTGCTGAGGCTGGCCTCCAATTTGCAATCTTCCTGGCTCTGCTTCCCAAATCACTGGGATTATAGGCTTGCACCACCATGCCCAGCTGGAGGTGCATTTCTTGATCTGGGTTCCCCACATGGAAAGCCATCTGCCCCTAGGCTGGAGCCCTGTGAGGGAGGGACCAAGGATTTTGAGGTCTCCCAGGTCCCAGCAAGCAGTAGTTGCTCAGTAATGACAGGAAAAAATAGACATGGCAGGTAGGGTGGGGCAGGTAGGGTGGGGCCGGCAGGGTGGGCTAGGAAGGGGAGGGAGGGGCTGGGTGGGCACAGCTTATAGGTGATATTTAAGCCCCAGGTCTTGTTGGAGAATCACCTGTGTGGGAACAGAACTAGATCCAGGATGCAAGAGCCTGGTGATCTACTGGGTGAGTTGGGGCGGGGGCCAAGAGAGTCAGCAGGGCCTGTGCTGATGGGGGTGCAGGGCTGGGGCTGGAGCTGGGGCTGGGGCTGGGCCTGCGGAGGCCTATCTGGTTGTCCAGAGAAGGTCTGAGCTCGTCTGGGACGGTTCTGCAAAATCAGGAGGACTTAGTAGAATTTGGAAATGAAATGAGGGTCTTTTGTGGTCCTGAGTGCAGGACAAGGCACAAGGTCCTTCTGCAAGAATCAGTGCAGAGGCTGGGGAGGGCAGAGCAGGCGGGAGGCCAGGCCCAGTGCTCTGGGGTGAGGGCCCTTCCTGGCCTGCCCCCCTGGGCCGAGGGTCCTGAGAGCACAGCAGCCCTTTCCAGGCCCATCTCAAAGCTGGCGAGGGGCAGGGCTGGGCTGGAAGGCAGAAGCCAGGTCTGATCCTGGGGCTGGTCCAGGTGTCACTTCCTGTCCACGGTGCTGCTGCCCACCTTGCCAGCTGAGTCCCTGTGGCCCAGGAAGGGCCCGTGTCATTGTGGTGTGGCTGGGGATGGTCTGTGGGATTTCTCTAACTTATTTAATTCTCTTGATCTCTCCACTTCCCTCAGGCCCCACACTTCCCCCAGACCCTCCGTGTCCTCCAGGGGCCTCTGGCATATCAGTGTCCCAAGACCTCCAAGAGTACCCAGCTCCCCCACTGCCCTCAGGCTCCCCACCAGTATCCCTGCCTTCCCCAGGCCTCCCAGGGCCTAAAGTGCCCCCAGGTTCTGCGGGCTTCCCAGGATCTCCAGGTCTCTTGGAGCCTGAGGTGCCTCTGGGTACTCCACTGCCCTCAGGTTCCCCAGGCCTCTCAGAGTCTGCAGCGCCCCCAGATACCCCAAGTCCTCCAGGTCCCTCTGGGCTTCTAGTGTCCCCAGGGACCCCAGTGGTATCATACCCTGCACGGCAGCGGCAGGAGCGCACCTTCTACAATTCCGATCAAGTGGGCCTACTGGAGAAGGTGTTCCAGAGGACCAAGTACCCCAACTACCAGGAACGCGTGGCCCTGGCGGAAAAGATCAACGTGCAGGATCACCAAGTCCAGGTCTGGACCCCCTCGCCTTCCCTCCCCCATCCAAGAACTACTGGCCACTCTTGGTGCTCACTAACCAGGCCCTGGCCCCACTTCCCCCTCCTGCTCTCGCAAGGTAGGAGCTCCAGGTGCACGGGGCCCGAGGCCTCCGGGGACACCACTATCTTGCGAGGTGCTTGGCAGGCGCTTACCCAGGGCCAAGCCCCACGGGGTATTCTGTGTATCCAGGGACTCCTTCCAGCAGACCCCGTAGGTGGGTGGAGTTTGGGTGCCAGGTCCTGGCCCTCTCCCCCTCCTGTCCCTCTTGCCCTCTGGTCCTTCAGAGCCCCCAGGGACCTTTCTAATTGGATCTGTGGGTGGACATCTCCTCTCTGTCCCTTGTCCCTCCAGGTCTGGTTCAAGAACCGCCGAGCCAAATTGTCTCGACAGAAACTTCAGCAATCAGCGCAGCCCTTTCCCAGGCCGCAGGGCTACCGGTCCCTCGCTGCGCCCAGCCGCCGGGTGCCCCCTGGCCAGGTGCACGGCCCAATGCACGGCCTGGCTTGCAGCCCTGGGTTCCTTGCTCTTCCCAGCCGGGCAGGTGTCTTAGCAAACCGCCACCTCTCCAGCTATAGCCAGGCCTTGGCAGACCCGGTGTGGGACGCCCAGGAGTGCACAATGGCAGGCAGCCCCGCGGGCTGGCCTCAGACCCCGGATGCCCTGGACGTCAAGTCGGAACCCGAGTTGTTGCCTGGCTTCAATGAGGTCCTCGCACCCCGGAACCCCTTCAGGGAATACTTGGGCCCTGCCAAGACACCCGAGTACCCTTCCTGGGATGACTTTGAAGACAAGGACAAACTATGGCCACGACATTACTGAATGTGTGTGGGTTCTGTGGCTGTCAGTCTTGCAGGTATCCGTCCCTGTGCTGCCCACCCCAACCTGCTTTAGCTCCAGGTGTCTGCAGCCAGCCTGGCGAGGCGGGCATCTTCTGCTCTCACTGAGTGGGCCCTCTTGGAAGGTCCCCAGCTGGGCATTCAGGCTATAGGTTTCCAGTCCAGGCTTGCTGCCCCCCAGGCCTTGAGCCAGGTGACCCTAGCTGTTCTGAGTCTTTGAAAGAATCCGTATCTGAGGGGTGAGCCCTAGCTACAGGTCTAGTCTCCTTTTCCTGATGTTTGAGAGGCTAGACATTAGCAATTCTTTATTGCCCCTAAAATGTAGATTTTATAGAACTTTTATTTATTATGACATTATTTTGGCAATTAATGTGCTATAAGTATTTCCTATCTTATTGTGCTTTTACTGAATAAAATTTTGTGGGCAAATTTTGATGTCTATTTTACTGCTTTATCCTGCATAACATTAAAAATATTCACTGGTGGACTGAACTGAAACCCCAAAAAACTACCCATGACTTTCCCAATGCACTTTATATATATAAATTAGCTACACATGGACACAATATCTATTTTGTTGATACATTTTTATGTGGTGCTGAGGCAAGCACTCTGCTGCTGAGCCACAACCCCAGTCTCTCCCAGTGCACTTTTAAAAACTAGATTTAAACTGGGCCTGATGGCATAGCTCTCCCTTCTCACCTAACAGACCCTGGTGGGGGGACACACCCTGAACTCCACAGTCAGAACTTGACATTGAAGGAAGGGCAGGGTGGAGTTCTTGGTCTGTTCTGGGACAGGGGCCCAGGCCAGGCCCTGTGGCATCCTGGGAGAGCCAACTGCAGAGCCTGAATCCACCCTGGGGCTGGGAGAGGAGGGTGGTGCTCGGGTGCCCTCCAGGTACACCAGTCAGTAGAAAATGGGTCCTTTGTGAACGGGTGGAGAAAGTTTGCCTGTGCTTTGACTAGCTGCTGGGAAGAGAAGGCATGAATTCAATTTTACTTAAATTCCATTTCACTTTTTGAAACCAAGCAGCCCCAGACCCCATAGCACTTTCCGAATCTGGGAATTTTAGCATCTCCTAAAAAGCTCTCCCACTTCTGGGAACCCCAGGCTGTGTGTGGCACATTCTCAATTCTCAACCTGGGAAGGAAAGAGGAAGTGACTTCAAAGGTTGGTCTTGGAACTTCCCATATCTCTGTCCCCCTGGGTGTGGGACAGCAAGAATTTCTCTTTTTCCTGGCTGTAGGGAAAAAAAATGGCATTGAATTGCTGCACTTGGATCGGATTCCTATTGTTTCCACTGAGACTCATGGCCCACCTGGGCTGGTGTCCATGGTGATCCACGGTGTCCATGACCCCAAGGTTAGAGACATGAATCTCCAGTGCATTCTACTTGGGATAAGGTGAAGCCTTTGTTATTTATTTATTTATGTATTTATTTATGGTACTGGGGTGGAACCTAGGTGTGCTTTACCTCTCAGCCCCAGTCCTTTCTATTTATTATTCTGAGACAGTCTCTTGCTAATCTGGTCAGGCTGACCTTGAATTTGCCACCCTTTCGTCTTGGCCTGCAGAGGTTGCTGGGATTATAGGTGTGCCCCACTCCCCTGGCTCCTTCCTTTTCTTTACTTTTCCTTCTTTACATTGCAGGGTCCTGAACCCAGCCCCTTGCATATGCCAAGCCAGCTCGAGAGAGAGAGAGAGAGAGAGAGAGAGAGAGAGAGAGAGAGAGA